TATGGAGAATTTGGCAGCCTTGAAATGGCGCCGGCTACCCCAAAACTTGAAGGTGATATGAACTAAGACCTAAAAACGTAATGAATAAAGAAGAAAAGAAATGAGTACGAAGTAAGAGCACAGGCCTGACACGACCACACCAGCACACACACTCACAAACACGCGCACAAAAAAAAAAAAACAAAAAAAAACAAAAAAAAAAAAACGGAGCGTTGCAGAACACTTGCTTCAAAACACAGCACAGAACAGTTGATGCAGTTGACGCATTTCTTGTCAGTCTGTTGCTTGTCTCATTTTCAGCTGGGATAAAGCACATCACCTACACTCTCGCTACATACTGTCACGCTCACTCACTTGTGCACATAGCTACAAATATATACAACCATAGACGTACGGCATATGTCTGTACTTAATATTCGTATAAAAGTCCACTGTCTTTTAAAAAAGTCACAAATAATGTTTAGTGCTTTCTTGAGTGTTTGCCGGTTCGCCCAAGGGCCCAAAATCTTTGCTAAAGATAAGGGACGACTGTCCAATAGTTGAAGTCGAGTTTTCATTCGATTCCTTTCACTGGCGTAGCACTTACATTCTAAGAGGATGTGATTAACATCCTCAAAAGGATCACCACATTTGCATACTGGGGTCACACGATGTCCAATTCGATGCAAGAAACTTCCAGTAAAAGCCATTGTTTGTCGTACAAGAGCTGTATGGAGAAGAAGGAGACCGTCCGTTGACCCTCCCCATCTCGCACCCGCGATGCACCGAAGTACGTTAATGATAGCATTCACTTTTTTTTCAAGCATATCAATATGCCTAAGGTGCCTTCATAAATATGCCTCGACCATGTAAGAGAACAGTCTAGCACGACACCAAGGAATCTGTGCCACTTGAATCGCTCGGTGTTTTCTAGTGAAGTGTAGAACTGCCGATTTTTTAGCTGAGATGTCCATGCCTCTTTCACGAAGGTATTTGTATGTCTCATCGAGGCCAGACTGCAACTGCAATTGTAAAGTTTCTGAAGAAGAACCAGATGCCCATATGCAAATATCATCTGCATACATCGAGATTTGGAGCGTTGGAGGGAGTCGCTGGGGTAATTTAGCAATGACAACGTTGAATAAAGTAGGGCTAAGTACGCTACCTTGTGGAACCCCATGTTTTAACTCATGTTCCGTGCTGTTGCCTTCGTTTGTGGCTACAAATATCTTGCGATGGAGCAGGAAGTTTTTTATCCAACGTACAACCCGTCCTGGCACTTTCAGTTGAATGAGTCCGTGCAGAACATGTGTGTGGCTCACGGTATCAAAGGCGCGATGAATATCCAAGAAGACTGCTATGGTTATGTTCCCAGATGCGCGCTCGTGTTCCACTGTGGTAACAAGGTCAAGCACAGAGTCAATAGTGCACCTTCTAGGGCGAAATCCAGTCATTTGTTCAAGTAATACGTGATTGGATTCTAACCACTATTGAAGGCGCAAATGTATCATCTTTTCCAGAAGTTACGCTACACAGCTAGTGAGACTTACTGGACGAAACGATTCTAGGGCTGCTGGGCTTTTCCCACACTTTAGTAAAGGAACAACCTTTGCCAGTTTCCATGAGTCCGGGAGAGTTTCTTTTCTCCAGACATCATTAAAGATCTCAAGAAGACTTATTTTAGTTCCCCGACCAAGGTTTGCAAGTGCTTGATATGTTATTTGGTCATGACCCGCAGTTGTGCGTTTACTAACCGTCGCCAGTGCATCTTCCAGTTCACGAATACTGAAATCACGATCCAGGTGTGAATTACTTGAGTTAATTTCTTCTCCTATACTTTTAATTGCGGCTTCGCATGATGCGTAGTATTCAGGGGAGGTCATCGCGTCTCCCTGCTTTGTAAGTAGAGCGCAGAATTGATTCGCCACTGTCAATTCCGAAGTACCTTGTGAAGTACCTTGTACCTTGTGGGTAGTGGTCACCTCGGGGGTGACCACTACCCGAGGTGACCACTACCCACAAACTATTCCTCCCTTGAGCCTCCCCCCGTTGTGCTACTTCGTCAGTCTAACTACCTTACGGAAAGGCAAGCTCTTTGCTCTCCCTCCTTTCTCCCCCTCTCCACATCGCTCAGACCAACCTTCAAGGTCGCCATGTGAATCGCAAGCAGAGGCACAGAGGCAAGGCAGACGCCGCGATCCTCCCTATCCCCATTACGCGTCACTACACACGTGACTCGGAAGACGGTGTAAGAGTTGAGGAGGTTGGGAGGCGCCCAAAACGTCAGTAGTTTTACTTAAAAAAAAAAAAAAGAAGTAACGCACGTAGGCCAGATTTGTTTTCAGTTCTTTAATCCGGACGTGACAGGGAAAAAACTAACACGATTATTTGAGCGAAGTCCAGACATTCTTGCACGGCCCTTTTACTTATAGTCCGTTGCAACTCAAGAAGGTAGAACGAGGGAAAGGAAGGTCGGGGAGGAGGAAGCAGACGGAACGCTGGAGAAGGGAGGCGGAAACCTCCTCCTCTCTTTAGCGTTCCGTCTGCTTCCTCCTCCTCGACCTTCCTTTCCCTCACTCTACCTTCTTGAGCTATGAAAGAGCACTTGCCACGTGTGTGTATGTGTGCGTGTGTCTGTTCCTGGGCGTGACAAATTACTATTGCACAAAGCAAAATTCATATTTAAATAATTGAAATGATGGCAACAGACGCACATCCTATGAAATGTTGGGGGCTGCGAATACCATTCGCTCATATTGGACTACACGCCCGATATCAACCACTCCGATAAGATGTCGTTTACGGTTCGATTCTTGGACCCAAGTGTGGCAAAGTCATTGTCCAGAAACATTTTATCGCCTTTAAATCAGTCAATGAGCCCACTAGATAAGCCCTTAAAGGCCGACGACCAGACTGGAGATACTGCAAGGCAGAAGATCCTTTTCACCATGGGGGAGGAGGAAACAGGAAACGGTGGGCAGTGTAGAAGAGGGAGAGGGAAGCGAGGGAAAAGTGGAAAGCGCGAGCTGGTCGCCGGCCTTTAAAGGGATGGTGAACCGAAATTTGGATTTCAAAAAAAAAACAATGCAGGAGATGTAGGCGGGACGCTACAATCCCTACAACACTACTCATAAGGCGATATCTCGAATGAACGGCCGCATTTTTGGTAAAAGAGGTCGAGATTGAACCAGGCCAACGAGGCGCGTGACGTAGAGATATCTCGTATCTCGTTTCCTCCTCTCTTCGCTTCGCTCCCTCAAGGCGGCGAGGCGGAGAAGACATGAACATTTCTGTCGTTCCCTCTCCTTCTCGGAAAAAACATGACGTGAACATTTCTGTCAAATGTACCTCCTTTTTTTTTAAAAAATACAATCATCCGTGTGGCACGCTTTTGTCGCGTGTTTTGTGGAATCCATATTTCGGTTCAGCATCCCGAGAAAAGCTTGTTGTCAATACTGGATGAGCACGGAATCAAGCTTGAAGATTGTCGCAGTCGTGATAACTAAAGGTGATAACGGCAAACACGACGGAAAAAAACAACAACAAAAACATGCAAGCAAAAATCCTTTTACCCCCCTCCCCTCCCCCCTCCCCCCCCCCCCCCCCCCCGCCCCCCAATTTAGAGGCCATTCTCATTCAACCTCGTAGTAGGGAATGATGCAGCATCTTCAACGAAAATCCGTCACCCTTTTTGGCATACTCCAGGGGATTGTGCTCTATGTCTCCTGTTCGGCATTGAAATATCCTCATAGATAACGTCAAAGGGCTTACTTTTGAAGCCGTTTAGTGAAACCCACTGGGTTTTTTTCCGAATTCAGCGTCATCTGGTGGATCAAAGAGCAGCCTCAATTTCGACAAACTAATGGCATTCATGAAATTCTATTTCATCGGGCACCGTCACTTTCGGCTGATGATAATTGGTTTTTAGATCACCTCATAACTCTTTCTTGATTTGTTTCAGTTTCGACGGTGTGAACATAAGAACCGACCAGTACAAAGCAGCGACCCATAAGCGCCTTGGTTAAATTTCTGCTGTCAAAAGGCTTTTGAGCCAAACTTGTGTTAAGAGATTGATTGGGCCACATTTTGAAATAAACGATTACGCAGCCTTTGTATCTAATAGACCGATCTCACCAAGCGTTCGGCGCATGCGTGACGCCGCCTTAACTTTAGTTCACAGGAGGCAAACGGCAGTGCACGAGAGGGCTCGTGCTGTCTCGTGCTCCTCTCGTGCAGAGCTTCAGGGAGATTGTCGCACGTGCAGAGAGACTTAAGTTCCTTCGATGCATTGCGGCAGCGATGGTGTAGTAAAACTGACTGGTGAGATCGGTCTATTGGTGCGTCGTGTTGGTGCTGACGTCTCGAACGTACAGGTCTCGTACACTTTCTGCTTGGTAGTATCTTCCCCGTCCTCAAGATGGCCACCATTAGGTTGTGATCAAAGTTGCCAGTCTGAATGTCCAAAAGTGTGGAAAGGCAATCCTCAGAAGGAGCTAATCAGTTCTAGTAGCGTCAGGGATGCATGCATGGGTCTCGGCAGGGCAGGGCATCAGAGAACATTTTTTGGCCATTAATTTGTGAAGCAAACTAGAAACCTTTTGGTCTTTTAACCTCGATTCCGAAGCAGAAAGCATGGCAATGGAAACGAAGGGTGCCGGTAAGGGTGAGAAATGTATTCATAATAGTGAGAGATGACTGCTGAAAAAGTTTGGTTAAAAGTCTTCAATAAAATAAAGTGTTTTTTTTTTGGGGAGGGGGGGGGAGGGAGTGGGATGAGAATTTGGGAAGGTAGGGAAACTTGAGAAGGCACCACCCTAATTGATTATGATGGGGTAGGGGGGAAGGACAAATTGTAACTTGAGAGTATCTTGAAAATAACCAGTTATACTTTTCTTTTAACAATTAGTACACTGACCTTTCAGAGTTGAGAACTTAGTACCAATAACTATTTTCCTTGGAACTAAGTGACTTAAATACTTTTTTTCTCGGTATCGGCTACAGGTCTCATTTCCCCTTCGCAGGGACAGCTGGGCCTTGTCGGCGCGGCAGGCAATGGTTGAGCCGCTGCTGCCCTGCCAGATCCGGTGCATCCTCGCTTCGCAGACGCAGACCCTCCGACAACGCGTGCTCAGACCAGACCTGGCCTCGGTGCCCTACCGCGGTGACCAGCTGGCTACCACGGCGCACTTCGGCGCTTTCGTTGACGGCACCCTCGTGGGGGTCGTGTCAGCCTTCTACGAGCCCCTCCTGATCCCCATCGCCCCGGCAGGAACGCTACGGGCCGCATCCTTCGAGTCCGCTACTCCACCGGAGTCTAAGACTGACGACCCGGGTGCCAAGTCGTCGGATGAACCATCTGATGATGCAAAGGTCAAGCTAGCGTCCAAGCTGGTCGACGAGTCGCCATGCAAGGCGACAGACGATCCGGTGCCCACGGAAGACTTGAGGTCGAATGCCGACGTCGAGACGCACCAGGATTCGCCGACGAAGACGAGGCAAGGTGCCAAGACGGACATAGTGAGCGACTCGAAGCTGGAACCGACGTCCTGTGCGGAATCCGGCCCAAACGTCGAAGACGTAAAACCAGAACCCGACTCCAAGTCTGGATCCCAGGAGTCCCAAGCTGACCGGGCGAATTCCAGGCGAGACGCGAGCCTGGAGCGACCCAACAACAACAACCACGACAACACGAATCCTTCTACTCCGGAGTCGGAGCCCAAACCGGAGCCGGAGCAAAACGGTCAAGCCAAGCCGGAGCCCGGAGCAGTTGCCTTCAGGTTGGCTTCAGCGTCCAACTCATGGAGGATCCGAGGTCTTGCCGTGGACCTGCCGGTGCGGGGCAGGGGTCTGGGATCGAGGCTTATCGCCACCTGCATCGACCACGCCAGGAAGCAGGATGGGACTTGCGTCTGGTGCGTTGCTCGTTGCTCAGCCGAGCCGGTCTACGAGAAGATGGGCTTCCATCGGGCGGGCGACGTGTTTTACCTGGAAGGGATCGGTCCCGTGCGGTACATGATACGGGCCCTGATCTAAGCTGCGGCTTGTGACCGCTCGCCTGTTGTGGCGGGCATATCGGCAGCTTGTATTCCAAGCAGACAGTGGGCAGCGTCGTGTAGCGATGATTGATTGATTTTTTTACATCCCGCACAGAGAGAAAGAGAACTAGCTGCAGACGCTACTATTGTACAGATATTTGATTGTCCGTGGTTACCGCTGGTGCTGCTCCCCGTTGTAGAAAATTTGGCATCGAGGCATCCTTTTTTTATTGGTGCTGAACCACTATATAAAGTCTACGATATTGATCTGGATGACTAATAAACGCTTAGTTAGAATATATACGGAAGTAAGAAGAGTCACAAAGGGGGAAGAAGACCTGAAATTCTCAGAGGTGTAGAACGTGAAAGACCCAAGGGACAAACAAAACGCAGCACACATGAACAGTGCTCTCTTGTGTCTACTCTCAGTTGAGACCCCCCAAAAAATTAGTTTGACATGCTCTCCTACTTTTAATACATTGAACAATCCGTTTCCTGATTATTTTAGTGAATGTGCTCACTCTATGAAAGGCAACAGGGCAAACCGAAACTTAACAAGGCTGGAATCCCACGATGGCGCCCAAGGTTTCGCAGGCATACATTTCTGATACCCCAATTACGTATTTAATTTAACCACAGTTGGAATCCAGCTGTTGAATGCAGTCGGATAATCTGAAGCATCAGTTCTTTCGCCGCTTGCTGGCCGTGGTAGAGAATGTACTTACATCGCGATAAAAACCGATCCATAGCTACACAGCAGAGCATCTGCGGTCATTTTAAGGTGTTTACGTGGGAGCCCTAACCAGTCTCTGCCTCGTTAGAGACCGAACTCGTAACCGCCGATTGCTGCACATGTAACCACCCGCGTCCGCACTTCAGTCGCCCGCTTTTTCGTGACCAGTTTTTGCCTTCGGCCGCCACCCCGGACCGGCGGCGCTGCCTACCGACCCTTGTCGTGTACTGCATCCGTGGATGTTGGCTCGCGCGTAGGGCCATAGCCGCCTGTCACCATGTGAAACCGTTTACAAAACGCGCGCTGATTTGGCACCATCTCGACGGCGGTGGTTCAATGGGCGCCAGGCGTGTAGTCGTGCTTGGTCGTGGTTACACGCCTCGTCTCTGTCTCGCTGAACCTCCAAAGTATGCATCAGTGATAATACGCCCGTCGCAGCAACACACCACGTGTTTTCAAAAAGGCTCCCGAATGGACTGGCGGCCAGTGGCTTCGACTGTAAACTCCACCGTAGGGCGAGGCCCGGTATCGATGGCGCTGGGTAGTATAGCGCTGACCACAACAAAAGATATTCTTTACGAACCGACAATGTAGTAAGTGAAAGGTTATACAACAATCGTGCGACGACGAGAGCGTCATCAGATGGAGGGTGCTACCCTTAGACGCAAAAAGCGGGGGGTTCGGTTAGGTCGTCATTATTACGGGGGTGTCTATACTGGGACCAAATAAACCACATCTCGGAGTAAACAAAGCAGAAGGTCTAGGTTCCACAGCAATGACACCAGTGGTGCCAGCGCGGGAACAATCATCATGTGATCGAGTGTAGCAGTTCAACTGAGCTCGACCATGCTAAATAAGTGGCTGATCTAAAGGATTGAAGATGTGAATAGACAAGGCATCGTGTCGCTCAACGCAATGTCATCGTAGCTCGAATACATCGTTGAACCAGGCTGGTTCACTCATTTGCGCTTAACTGTGATCGAGTGCGTCGCAACCGCTTGTGACTGCCTCCGACGTAACGAGATGCTGGTGCCATCTATGACCTCTCGGACAGACCTGGAACACTTTCGATCAGCGCGTATTTTAAGATTCAGGCCATTGCATTCGCGCGGTAGAGACTGTTACTGCGGGGCGCTTGGTGGCGCTATAGCAACCAAACCAAAGAACAAGAAAGTAGCCGCGAATTATCATCATCACCATTATCGTCGATCTACGGACCTTAGGAGCAGCGCGAAGTGTGCCCTCCGCCTCTCACCGTAACACGCAGACCTTTGGCAAGGAAGAGGTTGATCGAAATTTGAAGGTTCATCTTTTCGAAGCGCGGAAATTGCAGAACAAGTGCCCACGATGTTGTTTTCAAACAAACAGCGCGTTTTCTCATCAATCAAATTCAGGAAGGCTAGTAAAAATATAGATTCGCACTAAACAGTGAAAGCGGTAGTGATTTATTTCGGCTCAGGAGAGACGCGGCGCCGCAGAAACACAAGTTGCCTATACCGTGAAGGCCCACGGCGCCGGGTCCAAGGATTATGATATGGTATTGCACGGATGAATTGATAAAAGAAAGGGTGATGATGCTTTCAATGGAGCCTGTGGACGAGGATCAGGGGTTCGTGTTGCGGTTGAAGAGGATGAAGAGCGGTAGTCTTGCAACGGTCTTTGCGACGCTGGTCTTCGTGGAGCCACAGTGAGCTGCTGACTTCTAGCAGGCCGGTCTCTAGCGAGCTGCCCGAATTTTGGGCCACGCAGACAGTCCAGGACTTCTGTGGTGGGGCTCCAGGGGTTGGCGCCGGTGTTGGCCGGACGGCAGTCTTCGGGAAAGCGGGCTCTGAAGTCTCCGAGCCTGCGGTCGAGCTTGAAACCGAGCAGTGTAACCATCCTGTCAATCGAAGACATATGGTGTGTGCCACTGGTCCGGCTGTCTCTCTGACGATGAAAAAAGCACGTCTTACGCCCAGCTGGCTTCCACTTCTTCCGAACTTGTATTCTGAGGTATCATCCAGCGAAACAGCGCAAAGATCGGAGCAGCGAATAAAAATTACGAATCAACAGAGATCGACTTAGCTTTCTCTATTATGTTGATGAGAACAATGAAAAGGCAAGCTTCATGCCGCGGGCTCACACTGACAGCGTGATTTGAGGCGATTCTGTTTCCGTTTGTGGTTTGGTGCTGAGCGCCGCATGCGGAGGTTCAGAGAACTGACTCGGCTGGCTTTTTTTCTGTTGGACAGCCGAGCGTTTGGACAGGCCAAAGCAGAGCGCGTGAAACATTTCGGAGGTCATGCCTAGTCATACGCGATTTCAAGGCTACCCGATAGGTGGCGCAAGTGTACCAGTATGTAGTTATCTCGTCGTAGGCGGCTACAAACGCTCAGTCACACTTGAAGGCGCGTGTGTGGTGAACCAGCCTTTGCACAGCGAACTCTACAAGCGCGAGCTCTTTGCTCAAGGTTACACTTGCGAGAACTCGCGCAGCGCGGGAGCAACTGCCAAAGCTATGAGCTCGGGCTTCTAGCCTTCTGCAGTACGTCTTCAGGGGAGAAACTGAGGGAGAGGAGGCGAATAGAATACGCGGCTAGGTCAGAGCGCCGAGCTCTGATTAAAAGGATAGTGGGGACACGCAAAGGCTGGCTGACTTCGCCTCTACTCGCCGTAGCAGACGACGCACTCATTCGCTCTGATTGGAGGGAGACAGCGGGTGGAGGCAAAGACAGCTAGCCTTTGCGTGTACCCACTAATCCTTCAAATCACAGCTTGGCGCTCTGAAGTCTCCGTGCGCTTCCCTCTCCTCCTCTCCCGTCGGTTTCTTACCGTACAGTGATTTTCTTCTGGAGTGTGAGAATAGAGTGCAAGGGGGAAAAAACAGGAGATAAAAGCCGTGCTGCGAATCAGATAGAATGTCCATTTTTCGTCAGACGCCGAGCATTTCTCGCATTGTCCCGCATCCCTCGGATACCTTTTTGCAGTCTCCTTCGAGTTTTGTCTCTTTCACGCCAAGCCAAAACATGCCTTCCTCGTAGTACGACGTAGCTTCGCAGAGACGTAGTGGCAACACGCGTGTGACGTTTAAGAACTTTTTCTACCTATCCTTCCTTTACACTACCACGCCGATTGCAACTTACAAAAAAGATAAATATAAATATATATATATATATATTCCCCACCAAATATATATTTCTTCTGGATCATGGTATCCCCTGCGAGTTTTCGCGCGAACTCATGAAAGAAGTATAGTATATATATATATAGGTGAATTTTTTTTATAAGAAACTGGATATCGTTCTGTCGCTTGACAATGCTTCCTACTGCGAGTCGAATTTCCTAAAATAAGCATACCGTCTTTTCTGCGCCCGTAGATATTAGTATAGCAATGGTATATAGAGACGTTTTTATTGTGTACAAACTGGTACGAAGAACTTGGCGTCGCAGGACGACAGTGGTGATGTGCACTTGCTCCGTCTGTCCAAAATATGTGCATTTCAGTGCTGATCAACCTTGTGACATTTGCGCTGCTGCCCACGCGTGCTGATGGCCCATGGCTAAGTATAGCTGAGACGTGCTAGGAGAGAAAAAAATACACATTGTTGCCCATCCACTGTGACTGCCTTACGCCTGAACTTGGCCTGTACAGTGTCTAAGCGCGAACAGTGTAGAAAAGTCTGCTTTTTTTAAGTCAATCGAACTCATGGTTAGGAACCGTGAACCGTGAATATGCATGGCTTTGATAAGGGTTTGCTAAGTTACGGGCCACGGTCATAGCTGTAGATCATGCTAAGAAAAAAAAAGAGGTGTCTTTTTTTTTCTTCTTTGTAAAAAGAAAAAAACCAGGCATCCTGGACTGTAGCAGGAATATCTCTAGCACGTCATACTAGAAACGTCACTGCGCACGTACAAGCAATGTATAACGACTCAAGATCTTTTTTCCAACCGTCTCGCAATCAATGTACACATGTAATTATACAACTTGTTAAGCGTCATCCGGGCCTTTTACGAGGTAACCTTCAACCACTATAAACATTCAATTCTCGCCAACGTAGAAAGTGCCAATTGCTAGCCGATTCGACCTTACTCCCCGGTTCAAAGACAACGTAGTGCTCAATTGAAGTAAGACCGAACCATTTGGGGTGGTGATGTGATGATGAATGACGAAAGGGAGAAGAAAACCACTCGAGAGGCGAGTTCAGGGTCGGCGCTCTATTATGCAGGATGCTAAAAGTCGCATCGTACACCCACGCACACCAGTAAAGATTATTCCGTGTTAACGCTTAATAAAATCATAATTATCGGTCGTCATAGTCTCTGACATGTTAAGAAATGGAAGGCGTGGCTTAATATACGTTCACACTTTTTGGTGATTGGTTCGGCGTTCTTATCTGCTGCGACGCGATCATGAGATGATGTCTCTGCGCTTAACTCCCTCGACACGCCCGATGCGTTTTCGAACTCATGCCTTAAACCTTACTTCAATTCGTCGCAATAGACCTTCGCAGTATTTCTGCTAATGCAGTGAAACGCAACGTTAGCGGTCCTACACGAGGCAGAGCGTGATGTCATTGATGACGTCAC